TATAGAGAGGGCAGGAAAACTAGGGGTCGGGGTGTTGGTTTTTCAAACAGGTTGGTCAGTGAAGCTCTCTCCGAGAAGGAACAGGACGCGACAGTGCACGCACGGGGCCCAAAGGGTTCCAGGTGCAGCGACTGGCGTAGGCACAGACCCAGGGGTGCAGGTGGGGTTAGAGGACCAGCAGGAGACACGTCACTGTGGTGTAGGGAGTAGTGGTGGCATGCAGACCACAGCTGGCTTGTTCATGGCACTTGTTCGCCCAGTGAGAAGCTGGTGTGGCCAGGACCAGGGCAGTAGAGACTGTGAGAAATGGTCTCATTCTAGGTATATTTGGAAGAGGGGATTTGCTTTGTGATTTGAATGAGTGCAGTATGAGAGAAAGAGCCGAGTCTATGATTCCAGGCCCTTGACCTGCATGGCTGGAAGAACGGGGGTGTCATTCATGGAGATGGAAGAGCAGAGGAGGCGCCAGTGGGCAGGGCATCTCAGGAGGTCTGTTTGGGACACATTCCATTTCAGGTACCAGGCGATATCCATCCAGTGGACATCATCATAACCTGGTGGTCAGTATCTAAGCCCACCCTTGTGAAGTTAGTTGTGTTGCACACATGTTCTGTCTCCCCACTGAAGCAAGAACTGGGTCTTGAACAATTGGTACTCTTCTGCAGTCCCTGACATTCAGCTGGTACTCCGGGTAGTGCTGAACTGATGCAGCTGCAAAACCTGGGGTGCAAACACTTGATCAACAGCATTTTGAAGCTCTCAGCACCACAGGGGAGACCTGCATGGGTCTCAGAATCAAGTTCACAGACTCATTGTTCCAGTTTTAAAGTAGCATCATGTCACAAAACCCCACCACGTCTGTTTCATGTCCGACACAGGACCCATCAGCATGGACCAGCGTGTTTTGAGGTAGACTAAGGCCCCTCTCCAAGGGAGTTGCAAGCAGACAGACCTAACTAGAGTCGTCCCTTGCCACTTGGCGTTTCGACTTTTGCGGCTTCACTCTGTCACGGTCTTTTCAAATATATTTATTAAAAAGTTGATCAAGACGGTGAAAATGATAACAGCGCGTGCTTGGTTGTCTGAGTCAATTACACACCCCTGTATTACAATTAAAATTACATAGTATGTATGGACTGTAGGCCCATGTATTCGAGCACCCCAGGAATCCTTCAACGCCAGGTGCAACCGCTAGTCTGGAACGGATTGACTGCGATAAACGAGGGACGACTGTATATATACTCTCACTGAAAAAATCCCTCGGTAGGATTTCTTCATTAACTGTTAATGATCAGTTAACCTTTAGGAATGTGTGTGGCCTTCTGACAAACCTTATTATGAAGTAAACAGATATGTTATGAATACTTGAGGATGCTTATCTGAGACGTGCAGTGAGAGTTTAACTTTCATCAAAGAAAGAGAAAACACATATGCAAACCCCAAAAATGTGGATTATTGTCTGGCCAGTGTGGCTCAGTGGATTGAGTACTGCCCCATGGACTGAGAAGTCCTAGTTCGATTCCCAGTCAGGGCACAGGCCCAGGTTGCAGGCTCGATCCCCAGTAGAGGGCGTGCAGGAGGCAGCCAATTGATGTATCCCATATCTATGTTTTTATCTTTCTCTCCCTTCCTCTCTCTCTAAAATATCAATAAAAACATTTTTTAAAGTACATTATCGAAATAATTCAGGCTACATAATTAGGGAGGAGGAAAATATCTGAGGGTAAATATTAGTGAGGATGAATAATTGATGAGGAGAAAAATAACATTTGGCATGAGCTATCCAGTCCACTGCTTACTACAGTCACATTACCTGAAGAACCCTTCGCTCCTGATTTGTGGAGACACACCCGAGGATGCGTGTGTGGCATGTTTCCCAGGATGGCAGAGCTCCTTTGGGAGGAGGCAAAGCCAGAAGTTAGGAAGAAGGGACCAAAGGACAAGCCTTTGAAGTGGTAGAATATATTTTCCCAAATCTCTTCAAGTTAAAATAAATTCCATTATCATCAGCTCTTTATAATGCATATCTTAAATATTCTTCTCTTCCCTCATCAATTTCTTTCATGAATTTTTAAGTAAGCTGTTCAAGCTACAGAGCACCTCATGGTATTTAATTCCAAGACCTGTCTTTGGAGTTTTGAGATGAGGGAGTAGGGAAGGGCTTTCAAAACGCCCTAAAACAGTATGGTGTATACAACTGGAAGCATATACATCTACACCGTGGCCTGTGGAATAATCAGTATCACTTGTTATAAAGGCCTTGAGGACATTTCTCCTTAATGAGTTTACAGATACTTTGTAAACGTCTCAGATAGATTTGCCTATGAATATACAGTAGATATTTTCAGAACATGGAATATCGGCTGCGCTGAGGAATGTGTACAGTATGGCGCACACACCAAGAACCTGTCCACTGGTAGGTATTAGGCTGTCTGTCAGCAAGAAGGCAGACTGCCCGAATCGGGATCGTCCAGGAACATGCAAAGCCAAAACAGAGACCAGCATGTTTGCAAATAGGGCTTCTAGTGTTATGAACATCACATGACTTCTGACAGCTGTTCGGCAAGGATACGTCTGGAAGAGATTCTTAGGAGATACTTAAACTTGAGAACTTTGTTTTTATGACTTGGAAATACAGTTAAACAATCCCCACTTGAAGTAGGATCTGTTCCTCTGCTCAGCTTGTGATGTTAATGGCTCTAAGGTTTGGGGCAGGATTTATGGAGCCAAATGCAGGGTAGCCCTCCCACTTGAAACTCAGTGGGCATCCCCATGTGATACTGTAACTTGTAAGCATGATTGTACATATGTATATGCAAATATACATGTGCATGATATAAATGTAGTTCTGTAATGGAATATCAGCCTCATCACACACATGGGGAGATGAGAATTGTATGAGTAGATGCCAGGCAGATACTATTTCATAATTTTCTGTACATGAAACAAATCCATGAGCTCACACCGTTGGGAGGGAGCCTATTTATTTCAAGTGACATTCACCATGATTGGGGGTAATAGGAATGTCAGTTCATCTCTTTTGATGGTATCATAATATCTTTGTTCACAGAGGCATAGATCAGGAGAAAGAAAAGAAAGATCAGGAAAAAGAAAATGGGTTTAGGGGCCAAAGAGACTGTGACTGAATCCCAAGTCCATCAATTTGTAGCAATGACATTAGGCAAATGATTTAATCTCTCTGAGACTATAATTCCTCATTTGTAAATTAGAACAGCATGCTTTTTTTTCACTAGTATATTGTTAGCATTAAGCAAAATGCTTTTTGTAAAGTTTGTATCTGAGTGTTTGACAGATAGTAGGTACTCAAAATATGTTAGCTTTCTTAACATTATCTTCTTCAGTATTATTTCTGCCCTGTGATCCCTCTCCTCCTCATAGGATCCAATTATGTGTCTGTTAGATCTTCTCAATGTGTCTTCTAGGTCTCTTACCCTCTCCTGTGTGTTAGCTATCTTCTTGTCTCTGTGTTTCTTCTAAAGCTCTAAGAATCCAGTTCACTAATTCTCTCTTCAACCATGGTTACTCTGTTGGAAAATCCATTATATTCTTTATTTTAGTGGGTGCAATTTTTTTCTAGAATTTCCATGTATCTTTTAAAAGTAGATTCTAGTTCTCTCTCCAAATTCCTGAAGCTTGTCTTTAATCTCCTGAAATATTGTAAACATAGTCATTTTAAAGTCTATATCTGATGACTGTATATCAGAAGCCCCTGTAGGTATGTTTCTATTATCTGTTGTTTCTACTGGTTTTTGTTCATGTCATCTGGTTTGCTCATGGACCTCCTCCCCCTTTTTAATTGAATGTCTTTTATTTGAAAAATAAAATAATTCAAGACCTTCGTCCAAATTAGGGACTAAGATGATTAAAATCTAAGCTTCAGATGTTGGAAGGGCTGGTCTGCTTCTGGTTCACCTTACTTCTAGAGTATAGCATTTTGGAATTGCAGCCCAAAAGAGTGGGTACACCATAGAGCGCCCTCCCTTGGTGTGCCTTGTACTCCATTCCCTGCCCTCCCCAGACCCTCATGCTTTGGGAATTACCAAAAACCCACTTGATTTCACAACTGCTCCACTTTGGAATATGCAAATGCCCTGGGGGAACGAGCCCCAAGCGCCCTCTTCAACTCTGGGCCATCAACCTTTCCTGACCCTGACCCGGTGATTTATTTTTTACTCTTATTTTCTGTCTAGTGCCATAAGAAACATTTTTCTCTATATTTTGTCCAGAGTATTAGTTTGTTTTTCAGAGTATTTAGTTGTCCTCTTCTAGAAAAGTCATTGAAAATGGACTTTTTAAAACTACTTCATTTTCTTTTTTTAATATAGCATAAAGGTGAAGAAATTAAATTTCTATGAAAATTACACTATTACAAGCTAAGGTGCGTTTCAACCTGATTTAATGGCGGCAGTAAGACTCTCACTGGACAGTTTGCAGATCCCTGCACACACTGTCCCCTTGCTTCATTCACACATTCCTACGTCCAGGGTGTTTTTTTTTCTTGCAACCACACCTCTATTCCACCCCATTCCCCATTATGTTTTTTTTTTTTAAATACATGAGGAGAGCATTTGTCCAGTGAGCTCATAAAGCCCAAGACCATATCCTGGGCATGAGTCAGCCGCACAGCCTTGCTCAGAGCTGAACACTAAGTAGATGTTCTTTCATCCTTGGGGGTCGATTGACTTGTCTTAACGGAGACCAGACATAGAGCTGATACTGAGTAAAAGGATGGTGTGAGGACTGAATGGACTTTTACACTGGCTTCTGCCCAGCATCTGTGTATGGTAAGTACAAGAATAGCAGAAAGTTAAAAGCCTCATTAGTATGAGTTAGTGGAGGAGGGTTGTGGAACTAAGTCTCATATGTTTTCCATTCAGTTTTGTGTGTGTGCGCGCACGCGCGCGTCATAGACTAAAACCAGAATGGAATATTTTCATTTATTTCCTTTCTTTTTCCTCTCTCCCTCACTGTTTTCACAGGTCAGCGTAGAAGTTTTGGTCGAGTATCCTTTTTTTGTGTTTGGACAGGGCTGGTCATCCTGCTGTCCAGAGAGAACCAGCCAGCTCTTTGATTTGCCGTGCTCCAAGCTCTCCGTTGGGGATGTCTGCATCTCGCTGACCCTCAAGAACCTGAAGAACGGCTCTGTTAAGAAGGGCCAGTCGGTGGATCCCGCCAGCGTCCTGCTGAAGCACTCAAAGACCGACACCCTGGCGGGCAGCAGGCACAGGTACGCGGAGCAGGAGAACGGAGTCGGTCAGGGCGGTGCCCAGATGCTCTCTGAGAATGGCGAACTGAAGTTTCCAGAGAAAATGGGATTGCCTGCGGCGCCCTTGCTCTGCAAAACAGAACCCAGCAAGCCGGCGACCAGGAAGAGGAGGTGGTCGGCGCCCGAGACCCGCAAACTGGAGAAGTCGGAAGACGAGCCGCCTTTGACTCTTCCTAAGCCTTCTCTAATTCCTCAGGAGGTTAAGATTTACATTGAAGGCCGGTCTAATGTAGGCAAGTAGAAGCACGCGGGGAAGGAAACTCGGCTCCCTTATCATTTGTATCCAGATTACTGTACTGTAGGCTAAATAACACAGTATTTACATGTTATCCTCTTCCTTTAGGTTTCTGTTCTAACCTTGTCATTAGATTACAGCTGGTGTTGCGCAGGAGACTCTTGCATATGCTTTTCCCACGCGTGTCTGTGAGTGGGCGAGCGGGGGCCGGAGCGGGCCGGCGAGGCCCCGGGCACCCCGTGGGAATGAATGTGGCTGCAGAGCGCCCACCTTTTCTAGCTGCGCGGAAGCATCCGCGGGGCGCCGACTTCTGCCGGCTTCACAAGGAAGGGAGTTGCGGGGGTGCGTGCGTGCGGGGTGCCACAGCAGGTGAGGGTCTTTTTCTCTCCGCCTCCCCCTGTCTCACTCTCTGTTGCTCTCAGCACGGGATTGGAGGTCCAGAGAACTGTCCTCAGGAGGTCTCACGTGCAAAATAAATATCAGGAATCCAGCTTCAGGGCATCTTAGAAAGGCTTCGACAGCAGATGGAAAGCTAATCGTGTAAAGGAACATTTTTTCCCCCCCTCCAACATATTTTACAATAAAAGCAACTTTTAATCCTATAGATATATATATATTTCCCCCTATGGGGCCTGACTGCACTGATTTTTTTTTTTAAAGAGCAACTGCCACACGTGGGATTTTGTTTCTGCTTCACTAGTGCAGTGACATCTCCAGGGTGTCTGGTGGGCAGGGCAGCCCCGCTGCGTGGCTCCACGTGGGGGCGGGTGGGCCGCGGGGCTGGAGAGTGAACACCCACTCTGGTTTCTGTGCAGTTTTAGGAAAACCAATCAGGTGATTGCATTGACTTCGCTCCCAAGAGGTAGACTGAACTGCCCTTCCGAGAGCAGATGAAGCTGTTCACATTGGGTTTGCAAATCTTTTGTCTTTTAACTATAGTACTGTTTATAGTTCATGACTATGGACAACTCGGGTGCCACTTTTTTCAGATTCCAGTGTGACGTGAGGAATTAGATTTTGAAGATGAGCATATATGTTACTCTCTCTAAGCACTTAAAATGCTGTTCACACTTTATTACCAAGCATCTTGGTCTATCATTCAACAAGTACTGTATCTCACTTTAAAGTGTTTGGGAAGAAAAAAAAAAATCTAAGTTGCTTTCTTTTTTCAACACTGTAACTACATTTCAGCTCTGCAGAGTGTCTCACGTCAAGATATTCCGTTTCAATGTGGTTTAAAAGGATGAATGTGAATTATGAACTAGTATGTGACAATGAATGACCACCCAATTCAGCCTGGCAGGAAGGCACTTTTCACTTTGATGTCTGAGAAAGAATTAAAGGCATATGCAGAGAAACTGAGAGGAAGGGATGGAAAAAAAGAATACTCATGTTTGTCCAGTGTTTTTCTTTTTAAGATGAACTTTTAAAAACCTTGCGATTTGCACATCTTGAGTTTATAATTTGTGTGATATTCCTGCAGTTTTTATCCAATAACATTGTGGGAAAGGTTTGGGGGACTGAACGAGCATAAATAAATGTAGCAAAATTTCTTTCTAACCTGCCTAAACTCTAGGCTGTTTTATAAGGTTATGTTCCTTCAGATTTTATTTTGGTCTTTCCAGCACTTCTGTCACAAAAACCAGGTCTTGGCAGGACAACTCTGAGAATTTCTTCAGATTCATTGAGAACGTTTTCCATAAAGACATTTATATATGTGAGCAAGTTTTTTTGTTTTTTAAGAAAACAATTACTTCATTATTATTGTTGTTAATGTTATTACCAAAATGACGTTTTTTTGTTTTCTTTTTTTCATCTGGAATTGAATCAAGATTTTATGTTTGGTACAAACCCAGAAAGAGTATTCCATGGTTTAAACCTTTCATTCCCAGAGATCTGAAATACTGTTTGTAGGTTTTGAGTTTGCAACTCAAAAGTGCTTTAAAAAAAAAAAAAAAGTTTTATAAGTAGGGAGAAATGTTTTAATATTCTTACTTGGAATGGCTGCAACTGATCTGAACAAAGACTTCTGCTTTTTCTTTCACCATTGAGAAATAGTACTTTTCCATTTCACAAATTTACAAAGAAATTCTAATGTCCACCCACATTTTGGCTCTCTAGTACTCCTTTACATTTTGTTCTCACCGGGACTAATGATGTTTATAAACCATTTTCTGGGATGTACCAAAAACATCTGAATAGCGACAGAATAGCCTGTCCTTGACTTGCTTCGAATTTCATGACCCTCTCAGCATGTTAGCAGAGAGCTGGATGGGCCCATTCTCACAGTCGTGATGCTTACTTAGTGCTGTGTTTTTAAGCATTTCTGTTGAGAGAACTTGCTTAATCTTCCATATATTCTGCTCAGGGCACTTGCAATTATTAGGTTTTGTTTTCCTTTTTGTTTTATAACGTTTGATGGTAAGAGGAATACGGGGCTGCCACATCGACTTTGTCCTCATTAGTACCACTATTTCCAGCCACTCGTGTGGACTCAGAAAAACACACACCACCTTTTGGCTTACTTCGAGGATTGAACTAACTGGATCCACAACACCAACACTAAAATGGGAAAACGTACATGGTCTGGAGCAATAGGAAACAGGATCGTCGTTTTTGTGCTTCTATTTCAGGTATAGGAATTATAAGAGGATTGGTTCTTTCTCCACATTGTCCCATTTCATTCTGCCGCTTCGTTAGCATGTGCAATACTGTCCGTGCCAATAGAGTCTGACCGGTGTGCTCTAGTTCAAGCTCCACCCTTCAGGCTTTTTCCTTGTTCGAAGGGAAGGAGCCGGAAGGGGAGAGCCCCCAGCTGCGAGCTCCCCCTGCTGCTGTGGATGCTGAGTGCTGGGCAGGAGCCTTCAGGAGCCCAGGTGTCTGTCGCCATGTTGCAGAAGGAGCAAAGGAGATCTAGGGGCCGAGCTTCAGTTCCGCTGTCACCACGAGGACTAGTGAATGTGGAGTGTGGAGAGGAAGGAGGCAGAGTCATTTCTAAGGTGGACTCTGGAGCAATACAGCCAGCATCAACCCATTTTCCACGCCCTTTTCCAGTGGGCAGGCCCCTCCTCAGGTCTGTGTCCTTGAGACTTTGAGCTGTGCCTCTGAGCCCGCAGGAAGTGTGGCCTGATGCCTGCGTGCTCTCTGAGCGTGCCGGCCCGTGGCTGTGGGGGCCACCCGTCGGCACTGCTCACCACTCTGTGGCAGCTTTCTCTTCAAATAGGAAGAACATCCAGGGGACAGGGAACCTCCTCTTTTTTGCAGACATGGGGAGCCTGAGGCTCCCAGGGCAGCTTTGTCACCACTCCCGTGTAGCAAACCTAGCAATGACAGGCGTAGAAATTCTCCGGTGCCCTGCAGCTCACGAGGGTCAGCCATGTGCCTCTGTACTATGGTCCACTTTGCAATATCTACTGACAGCTGTCTTTAGTTCTTTCTTTCCTGTTTTCCATTTTTAAACTAATAACAGCAGGCCTTTTGCGTTTACAATGGAACACAATCACCAAGAAATCAGTCAGGGTGAAAAGAAAAAATATAATAAGAAACCAACAAACAAGAACCTCTCTTTATAGGGATTTCTAAATATAAAAAAAAAAATGACTGTTCCTTAGAATGTTTAAGAATTACTTCGGTTTGTCTGGGCCACGTTGGGGTGGAGATAAAGAGATGGGTGCCACTTACCTCGAACCTTTTGAAGTGGAAATCCAAATTGTGTTTTCATTTGGATTTTCAGGATCACTTTTCTATGTCAGTCAATCTTTTGTTTCCCCCAACTCGCCCAGTTCGGTTTGGAACGATGGGAATGTTTTTCATTGCTGTTGTCGATCCCATTTCTAACTCTGAACCGTGACCCTATGTGTTTTTTGTTAGGTGAGTGTGTTGGGTTTTCCCCAGCAGGAAGTGGCGCATCTTCCTTCCCTCCAAGGAACTCTGCGGAACCTTTCACACCTCTTACTCAGGGACGGCTGGCGTGTGTGTGGTACACTGATGTGCCCAGAAGCAGCACTTTGACTGCTCTGGAGTAGGGTTGTACAACTTCAAGGAATGTTTGGATTTCCTGCACCTTGTGGATTACTCCTTAGATCCTGCATAGATTGCAATATAACGCTGCGTGTTCACGATGAACAGTGGCTCCTAGTAATCATAAAATCCACTCTTTGCACATAGTTTGATCTTTACTGAAATATGTTGCCAAAATTTATTTTTGTTGTAGCTTTGGAATTTTGTTTGTTTGTTTGTTTGTTTTTTAAGGAAACAATTGACAATACCCTTTAACATCTGTGACTACTAAGGAAACCGATTTCTTTCATCGAGAGAAAAATCTCAACTGCTTTTGAAGACACTAATGCCACGCTATTTCAGAGCTGGGAGAAGCCGCGAGCTCTTGGGGCAGAAGGCCAGGCTTTTTGAGCTGCGTTGGTTGTCATGGCTACTGTTTCATGAACCGCAAACAGCTCAACAAACTGTGGTCTGTTCTCTCCTAAAACCCTTTGCACTTCCGTTTCCTAGTCACCGTGATGGTTCCTGGTGGAGACGGGCCGGCCATCTCCGTGGCCAGTCCAGCTCCTTGGGTGTGATATGAAAGAAAAGGGAATCATGCTTTTTGAATTCTTTAAAGGGGAGTGGAGGCCTTTGCTTCCTCTTTGTGTTTTCGACCCAGAATTTCTGAAATAGACAATTTAAGACAACATCAAGTAATAAATATACAGAGAATATACTTTTTCTAAAGCACATGCATATGCTATTGTGTTCGGTTGGTTTCCTCTCTTTTCCACAGACAGTGTTGTGTTTCTGTTGATAGGGAAACTCCAAACGATTTGCACACCTCTACTCTGGAGCTGAGACTTCTTCTCCATAGATGACCTCGCTTCAAATGTTACCTTACTGATAGGATCTTTTCTTGTAGCACTAGACCTTGTGGGGATTTTCTTTTTTCTTTCTTTTTCTTTTCGATGTACACCTAATTTGAGACGCTGAAGAAAAACAATTTTTTGAGGCACTCACTTTGTGGAGTACAGGTAATGTTTTAAAAAAAAAATTGCACAAAAGAAAAATGAATGTCGAAATGATTCATTCAGTGTTTGAAAGATGGATCTGTTGAAACCATGAGTTTCATACCTTGTTTGTAAAAAAAAAAAAAAAATAAGCATAAAGGTTGAAAGTTACATGTTTTGTTTTTTTCTTTTTTTTTTTTTGTATATAGAAATTTGTCATGTCTAAATGATCAGATTTGTATGGTCACGGCCTGGAAGAATTACTGCGTAAAAGGCTCTTAAACTAGACCTATGCTTCCTTTCTGTTTTTGTTACATAGGCCTCTTCGGGGAGGGGCGCTCTGTCTTCTGCGGTTGGAGAATACCGTTCATTCCTATGCCGAAAGTACTTCTCTGAGCTCCCTTCTTAGTTTAAACTCTTAAGCCATCGCAACTCCTTTTTCTTCAGAAATGATGTTTGACGTTTTCAGCACTTCTTGTTCCAATAAACCCAAAGAATATAATCCTGAACAAGAAGTGTTTGTCACAAGGGATCCTATAGCTACCAATAAAACAGGACTCATTATGAGGACAAGGAAAAAAAAAAAATGCTCAGCCTTCTTTCCCCCCACACCTCATTTAAATGGGGGGGTAAAACATGAAATTCAATTGAAACGCCTCCTTTACTTCAGTTAACTTTTTCTTTCATATTGAGGCCAAAATAAATGTGGGACAACTTCTGAGAAGAGTCGTTTTCTGTCCAAAAAATCAAGCCAGCCAGCGGATACTGGACAGCCTTGGGGAGGTTGAGCAAACCCCCCAACAATTCTTAAATTCAGAGTCCCAGCTTCTCCCTTCCCATTAAAGGCAGCGTGTCTGGTAGCTGACATTCACCTGGACAATGGCGGGAGGGAGCAGCGGCCTCGGTTTTTCGTGTCCTCTTGACTTGCATACAAACGGTTCAGTTGTATTAAAATTAAGTGCATTTGGCCAATAGGTAGTATCTATACAACCGTCTCTAAGAATTTCTGTAACTTTTCTTATCTGAAAGGACTCGAGTCTTCCACTGCAGATAATTGGAGACATAGCCCAAGTTTTCTTTCCCTTGAGTTTGTTCGTTTCCTGTCTGGATGGCCAAGAGCCTGTCTCCTTTTCCACGGCCAGTCTGAAGGCCTCCATTGGAAGCGTTGTTTACAGTAATCTTTGCTGAGATAAACTCACTGTCCTCTGGGATGTCAGGTCTGAGGAGACACTAGCTTAGCGCTGTCACCGTTAAAGAGCAGTTACCAGGAAGCTGGATGGGTAGGTTTCCTCTGGTTCTCCCATGAGCCACCCACTCTTACGTTGTTACCCGATCCAGGAGTGGGGTCAATTCTTTAGTCCGTGAACGTTAACCTGGGGCAATGGGTTCCGTGAATACTGCCCTTTTGGCCTCTGGGGGAGGAGTCTTCCTCCCCAGCATCACTGCTCACCTGTAAATCCAAATTAGTGTCAGCGGAAGGGAGGTTTAGGACAGCCCTAGTATTCGTGGTGGCCTTTCGTGAAGACAGCGTCATTTCCTGCCAGTGGGATCCTGGCCCTAGGAGCATCTCTGAGATTCTTCCCTATGGATGTTTTAATACCAGATCGTTACCCACCACACTTCCAACCGTGCGCCTCCCACTGGCCCGGGGAAGAGAGACACCAGAGCTGTGGGCAGTATCAGACCGACATGGCCAGTACAGAGGAAAACTAGGGAAGGAGAGATGTTTTGCACCTTATCGAAAAGAAAATATTAAGTGCATACATAGTTAAGAGCTTTTATTGTGACAGGAGAATTTTTTCCATATGCGTGCATACTCTCTGTAATTCCAGTGTAAAATATTGTACTTGCACTAGCTTTTTTAAAACAAATATTAAAAAAAAAAAATGGAAGAATTCATATTCTATTTTCTAATCGTGGTGTGTCTATTTGTAGGATACACTCGAGTCTGTTTATTGAATTTTATGGTCCCTTTCTTTGATGGTGCTTGCAGGTTTTCTAGGTAGAAATTATTTCATTATTATAATAAAACAATGTTTGATTCAAAATTTGAACAAAATTGTTTTAAATAAATTGTCTGTATACCAGTACAAGTTTATTGTTTCAGTATACTCGTACTAATAAAAATAACAGTGCCAATTGCAAATGTGTCCTTGCCTTGTGTCAGGTCGTCGAGGGAGCTGAGGCTGAGAAATCGGGGGGTTCCTCCCTACGTACCCAGCCAGCGCTCAGCAGGTTGGGGGGAAGGCTGGCAGAGGCTGTACTCATTTTGTGGAGGGCTGCGGAGGGGAGGTCATGAAGAGGTTCTGAGACAAAAGATGCATTTCAACAGCTGATGTCTTGCCTTGTTTTGTTCGCCTCTATTTTTCCTCTCTCAGCGCCTCTGTTTACAAGAGATAATTGCTTCTAAATGCCCTTGGCAGCTTGGTGGGCTCATGTAGCGTTGTTGGTACAGTTTTGCTGTAAACTGGGTCGTGGTCTGAAGGCAGCAAGTTCACTCACGTTTCCTGTTAGAACTCAGCGAGCAGGGGGCACCTGGCATGTGGAGAGGCCTGTTTGCCTCAAGAGTATGACACCCCAGGCTTGTAAAGATGTGGTTCAGCAGTTGTCCCGGAAGATAACTCAAGGACCCGTGACTTTCGGTGACCTTTGCCATCTGCACGTGTGGCTGTCCGCCTTCCCGCCGGGAGGCCCTGCAGAGGTGAGCTCTGTTCAGCGAGCCCAGGGAGGGGAGGGGAACTCTCTCCCTAGCTCCCCGGTTAGGCTTGGGGACATCGCACTGCGACGCTCCTCTCAGGACTCAAGTGAGGCCCGGCACACTGGGAATGTCAGTGTGAGAAAGACTGTGCTGAACCAGAGTGGGGGGAGCCCTGCAGCCCAGACAGGAAGGGCCGCCTTGTCCTCCAGAGCAGTCCGGGCATGCGCTGGGGGGCTGTCTGGGGCAGCCGTCTGAACCGCTGCCTTCCCTATTTCAAGGTTACTGTAGACGCCAATGGTTCCGACCAGTTTGGGGTCCAATGGCCTGAGTCTCACCTGGACTGGTCAGACGGGTTAGGAAGAACCTTTGCAACCCCTGCGCAGTGAGGCAGGCCAGCATGCTGCTAGGCACACAGAGGACCGCACGGGGGATGGCACCGAGGTCACGGGCTCTCCTTCCCTCCCCACCGCACGCTGCCCGGAGGCCTGCACTCAGGCAGCAGGGCCGCCTCTGTGAGCCCCGCCTGCACCTGGTCTGAGGGCTGCCCCCCGGGCTCCCCAGGCCCAGTCCTGTAGGAGGGGGAGGTGAACTGGCCGCGGGGGAGCCTGCGCGGCCTGCTGTCTGTGAAGCCTCTGCTTGCAGATGATCCAGAAGGTTTTGTCTGTAACTCAGTTTTCACGTCCCTAAGTACCAGCTGGGTGAGGGACCTGCCTTCGTTGGTCTGCGCCAAGAGCTAGTGTGCAGTCTTTACACAGACAGATGACGTGGCAGGTGTCATGACCGAGGGCTGCCCAAGGGGTCATCATGGTGACCAGGGTCCCCACCCTGACCACTGTGAGCGGAGCACAGAAGCCTAGTCTGAGGGGACACTGGTAACAGTCCCTTACTGCTGACTACGGGGGGATTCTTTTAGGGCCCCTTTACCTCTCTCCCTTATTTTGCAATAGAGAAATGCTAACAGCCCTGGCCAGTCTGGCTCAGGACCAGGGTCTCAGGTTTGATTCCAGTCAAGGGCAGGTACCTCGGTTGCAGTTGGATCCCCGACCATGGTCGGGTCGCGCGGGAGGCGACCAATCGATGTGTCCCTCTCATGTCGATGTTTCCCTCCTCCCCCCCCCCCATCTGAAGATAAATGGAACGACATCCTTGGGTGAGGACTAAAATAAAAAAAGAGAAACACACCCTGGCCGGTTTGGCTCAGCAGCTGGAGCATCAGCCTACAGATCAGAGAATCCTAGTTCCCGCTAAGGGCACGTACCTCGGTTGCAGTTTGTCCCCGCCTCGGTTGGGGTTGTGTGGGTGGCAGCTACTCAATGAGTCTCTCTCACATTGATGTTTCTCTCTCTCTCTCTTCTTCCCTCTCCCTCCCCCCAAAAATAAAATAAAATAAGACAGCATTTAAAAAAAAAGAGAAACACTAACAAACATAGGACTCCCGTGTCAAACACATCTTCCACAGGGACGGGCTGGCCTCACACCTCACGCACACAGACAGGAAAGATGGGGTGCCTCCAGCCCCACACCTTGTTCTGCACTAAACATCCTTGGCCCTTGCACCCCAAGTAGCCATTGGTGTTTCCACAAGCACAGGAATGATTCTTAACGGATGTGGGGGGTATTACAACGGAGTTCAAGTTGCTGGGTCTTCAAAGGCACTCCTGTGTCAGCTTCTGCAGAAGGGACCGAGGGAAACATCTTGGCCCACAGACACGTCCCGCTGCTGCAGTAATGCCTCGGCACGACCGGCCCCATGCACCGTGTTCACCCCTCACACAGCGCCACAGCGGATGCCCCTGCCGGGCCCTGGGTCCTCTCTGCTCGGGACCACCACTGTCACCGTAAGCTGACGTGACCTGGGAGCACGGGGCAGTCCTCCCTTCAAGGTATTAGTCAGCGTGAGGGAACAGTTCTAACTCCCAGCTTAAACCAATGCTCTCAGGAAGCCACTGGTCACGGTTTTAGCTATTTCTCAGTGGGCCTCTACTTGCTCATGTTTTGGTGGATAACCCTTCAACAACGATCCTGTGGAACTTCAAACAGTGTATAATCTCTACGAGAGAGGCCAGCCTAGCAAGTTGGGACTTAGGAAGGAAGGGGAAGAGAGAGAGGAAACAAGACTAAGAGAAAAACCAGGACAGCTTCCCAGGAGCACCGACGGTCAGGGACGGATGACCTGTTCCCAAAAGGCACCTAATGAGGAGGATGAAACATGCCGCTACCCCTGGAATATCCACGGGAAACCAATTCCTCGTCTGTCCTTCTGTGCTCCAGTCCTCTCCAGCAAACAGAAGCTGGAGGGGTGACACCTGTTACTCGGACTGCCCCCCACCCAAGGTGCCTGGACTTGGAGCCACGAGCATGTCTAGGAAGGAGGTCGAAAACCCCCAGCTTCCCTGACAACTGGGTTCCTGCAAAGGCAAACTCCAGGACACAACTCAGTCTCAAGACAATAGCATTCTATTAAAGTGAACCCATTTTCTTTTTTAAAAAGAAGGAAAAAGGATGATACGAGTGTTAGTTTTAACAATGAGGTTATGAGTTCCGGGCAGCTGGGCTCTGACCACTGACCCTATCAGTGCTCTGCTTCCAGCCCCCCAAGGCACGAGGGGGCGCCCCAGGGCCTCCAGGCGCCGGGGGGAGGAGCAGCGTCCCGCCGTCGGAGCAGCCCCAGCTCTGATGTGACGGGTGTGAGCGGGGTGCGTGGAAGCTTCCATGACAGGACCGGCCCCGTCCGCATGCTTAGCTGAACACCGTGTTGTGCTGCTGGGTCACCCGGATGAACGTCGTCCTCTTGCTGAGCTCCTTGAGCTTGGCGGCCCCCACGTAGGTGCACGTAGACCTCAGTCCCCCAAGAATATCCCGAATCGTGTTTTCCACATCCCCTTTGTAAGGCACTTCCACAGTCTTGCCCTCGGAGGCTCTGGAAGAAAAAGGAAGGTGCTCCTTTCAACTGGTTCTTCTTCCTTAAGGGCCCAGCCTGAGTCATCCCGGCTGCAGCACCATCCGCAGCCCCAGGGCCCTCGGGTAGCTACACACCACCCGGACCCTGCACCCACGCTGCTACGAATGCCACGCTGACCACACCGCACTGCAGACGAACACGGTCTTCCCACCCGAAACACTGCTGGCCACTCCGAGCCCTGGGGAAGGGCAGACCCAGGCCATCTGCACAGGGACGGCCCTCAGCAGCGGGCCTCCACCCTGCCCCTACGGAAACCACCTTCACCTTCTGTCCACCTCAACCTGCACACCGCTCTCTGCTGACGGGGCCCAGTGCCCGGGGACAGGAGAGCAGACCTGGCGGATTACCTCTAGACCAACCTGCCGCCTCTCCTGCTGGCCCAACCCGGGCAACCACAGAAGCAGCCTGGAGCTCTGCCCCTCTGCATGCCGGGTCAGACACGGAGTGTCTTCAAAGGGGGCAGTCAGGGGGAGGAGGAGGAGGAGGATACAGATAAAATGAACAACTCTAGCTGTACCAGGTTACGCAGTAACCTCCACCAGCAAGATACGGTGACTCCCTCTAACGCCCTGTCTTTCCAGGGGGCCTTCTGTGGGGCACAGACCCCAGCTCACTCCCTGCATTCACACAAGTCACTACTCCTGCTGTCCTGGGCGTGGGCTGAGGTCCCAGCAAAGTGGAACGAGAGAAGAACTCAGGACATTCTCAGCACCAGACTTGAAGGCTTTGGTCAGCATCTTGGCTATTTTCAAAGGAACATTCAGAAATTCGGGTCCAGCAAACAGTGCAAACACTAAGCAACATCTAACTGTCCTCGCTGGGTCGTCCCACTCACTCCTCACAAGGCTGCCGAGGGACACTGATTCCACAGGCCAGGTCTCTCCCTGCACAGTGGAGAAACGGTCCAGACGTGCTTTCGGAGAGACGTCACAGAAGGAAACCTCACATCTGCGTAAAACTCCAGCCCTCCTCTGAGGGCCAGACGAGCCGGAAATTGTAATAATTAACCAAATTGTTACTGGAACTTTCTCTAGCTGGTTTCTTGAACTGTTAAAATTGTATCTCTTGATTAGATACTTACTACCTACAATTTCAAAAGGGAGTAACTCTTGTACACTGACATCTACACATGCAAGACTACCGTTGGGTGAAACCTAGCTCTAAACCACCGACCAGACTGAGGGCTGGCCTGGTGGCGGGCTCAGGGCACCGACATCATGAAGCAGATGACTCATGTCACTGTCACCACAGACCAAGGTCTGTGCTCATGGCCATAACTGTCATCTCATTTTCTTCAGCCCGGGGGCCTTCCTGGGGCTTACTGGAAATTATCCAGATTCTCATCATTGTTTCTCTGCTAACTGGTGATAGCACCTTTTGTAAGTCATTTATTGTTGATGCTCAAGCCTTCTCCTCTGTAAAACAAAGGCACTTTGACCTATCTCCCACGACTGCATGAGAACTACATAACTGGTTAATGGCTGGGAAGAAACTAGTGTAGCATAAATAACTCAGCCTTAATTAAATACAGTATCAAATGGGAGGACCATTCTCATGAGGAGGTAGTGGTGATAAGGCTGCGCACGGCCAGGAAGCGAGGAGGAAGAAGGGCGGGAGGCAGAGACGGAGACGCACAGGCAGAGCGGGTGCAGCCTGCGAGGCTCGGGCTGCCTGGGGATGAAGGTTCTGATGCCTTCAGCACGGCCCGTCCGTGGGTAAGATTCAAATCCGCTTCCAGAACTAAGTTTGCTACTCCTGAATATTTTATTTTCTTATTTCTAGACCCTGCTGAAATTAACAGGACATAATCCTTCTCCCGGCCCCTTGGCTTCTGAGGGTGCTGGAGGCTAGTCTGGCCTTCACTATCTGCTTTTCTTAGAACCCACAGCAGACGTCACAGCTGGAGGGCAAAACCGTCCTCGGCACGGCAGCTGCCGCCCACTCAGCTCCCCTCACACACAGGACCGGAGACCGTGCGCCGCGGGGTGGCAGTGAAGCCTGGGGCTTCCCGGCCGAGGCCCAGGTCAGCGCTGAGGTGTGGTCGCCCACCCCCTGCAGGGGTCACCACGGCGAGAGAGCCCTCCTTTGCGGACTGCGAGGGAAGGGGCGCATCCTTGTTCTGACCCTCTGAAGCTGCCAGGGTGAAGGCGTAAACGTTGTCCCTACATGTCTTTCCCACCCTGCCCTCCCCATGCTATCTTTACTGAGGTTTCTCCCCAAAGAGAAAAAGACTGGAGAGAGTGGGGACTGAAGTGCCCCATGCCCGGCTGAAGAACAGAACTCCGGACAGTGCCTCACTTTGCCACCTGCCACCCACCTGCCGGGAAACCTCGGCGAGTTCTGGTTTTTCACTCTAGATGGGTTGAACCTTACATAATGCCTCTGAACCCCATGTCCCTAGAATCGGCGATCGGACGTGGAAAGAATGGTAGGAAGTGGAGGGGCAGCCACGAGGGCTGGGCTCCCATCCCAGGGCCTGGGGCGTCCTGGAGAAAGGCCACCCGCCCTCTCCCGCAGGCCTTCCTTCTGAGGACGCAGGACCTTCCGTCCTGCCCCTTCATGTGGCCTGTCGGCGGCACCAGCCCCAGGAAGAGGCGAAGCAGACTCTGGAGCAGGGCAAGGCCGTGGACATATCCTGCCATTAGGTCCTTAAAACACACATGCAGACAATCACAATGGAAGCGATGTGTACACTTGAAACCTATATAATTTTATTAACGAGTGTCACTCCAATAAATGTAATTTAAAAATAAAATAAATGGAAGTGAAATAAAGGCCAGGGTATCATTTGAGATCATGAATTTTTAAAAAACGATAAGCAGCCTGGCTGGTGTGGCTCAGTGGATTGAGCGTCGTCCCGTGGACTGAGAGGTCCTGGTTCGATTCCCGGTCAGGGCACACGCCTGGGTTGCGCGCTCGATCCCCAGTGTGGGGTGTGCAGGAGGCAGCCAATCGATGTTAGTCTCTCTCACATCGATGTTTCTATCTTTCTCTAAAACACATTTTTAAAAAATTAAAAATGAAAAAGCAGAAGTCAGTATCCCTTCTGCAGTGGGTGATAATTAAATGGCTAAAAATGCTGCCTGTGTCAACTGTCAGAGCCTGGAGGCAGGTGCGAGTCCCGAGTGAGCTACTGTAGGTGAAACAGCATTCTCCACGAAAGCCCGGCCCCCGTGTGATGGTCCGGACCACACCCGTTCCATATGCCGTGGGAGACCCGTTCTCCACGAAAGCCCGGCCTCCGTGTGATGGTCCGGACCACACCCGTTCCATATGCCGTGGGAGACCCACCCCTCAGCCCCATTCTTGCAGCCTGAACCCACGCCAGGCGGAGATCGGCGGTGGCCGGGAGAGTCCAGCCACGGCTCCGTCAGAAGGGCAAGGCAGCACCCTCCTGCACACCCTCTGCACGGCTGGAGTGGCACCTCCAGGACTGGATGAGCAGGAGTCCTACCTACCCACACATACCCCTACTCCCATTTCCAAGCCAAAACATTTGTGCTTCACTGCACTGCCTTTTGGGGGCGCCAAACACTACAAGTACAAGCTGGGGAAAAAATATGGCTATTTAAAAAGAACAAGATAGGTTTTCCTTCCCACTGAGCTTTACTATAATAATAAAAAAAAAGTGGCATCTCTGAGACCTGCTTCGACCCCGTCTGAGAAGCAGGAGGAACGTGAGCCCTCCCCGAAAGCTGCGCGCAGCCCTTACCTGTACTCCGCTACCCCTCCTGCATGCTTCTTCATGGCTGTTTCGGAGCTCATCCCATAGAAGAGCTTGAGCTTCTGCCCGTCCCTCTCGATCACCTCTCCAGCACACTCGGTGTGGCCCGAAAACATCCCTCCCAGCATGACGAAATCGGCTCCGGCTCCTGACGCCAACCAGGGGACACAAGGAGGCAGCAGAGGAAAGAGCTCAGGGAGGATCGGCTCTGGAAAGACCCAAGTGCTTCCCGACTCCCCCTCCCTCCTCCTAGCAGAGAGGGCAGCTCAACCTCTCCCCTGTTGACCAAGCTTAACAAGGTTCCCTTCCCAGGGAGCGGGCCCTGGACACAGGAAACCAGTACAGCCTCCTGGATGCCTAAGTCTTTCAGAATCAGAGAAACGTTAGTAACTGAGCAGCATTTTAGAGCGCAAGCTGTCCAATCTTAGAGATAATGCCGTAACTCCTGGCCCATGTCCCCATCAGGCATCTGGTCTACCCTCAGCTCGCAGCACGCTTACACTGTTTGTGTAGCTCATGAGGAGACCTCCAAACAGACTGAGCCTCCTGGGCACAAAGGAGGGAGGCCTGTATGTATGTGCATATATCGTGGGAAACCCAACCTCACCTCTGTTGTGATCAACACCTGACTTCCAAAGTAATATCCCATATTAATCCCAGTGACGTGACACTTCCAGGCTGGGGACAGAGGACACTGGGGTTGGAGGCTGCCTCTGTGGGCTATGTTGGAACAGGGCCAGAAAGTGCTGGAACTGCAGGGCTGCTCACGGCTGTGTCCCCAGGGTCTGTCACAGTGCAGGGCACGTGGGAGATGCAAATGACTAGTTGTCAAGGAAGGAAAGTGTGTACGTGGAAGGAACAGAAACAGTCCCCACCCCCACTCTGATCCTGTCCATGGAGAACTGTGCAGACCGTCTCTCCACTGACTGCTACAGTGTAACAAGCCGCTGCCGCGGCGCCCTGGGAAACCTGTGGCGGGTCCACATGGCGGGTCCGCAATCGGAACACGAGCTCAGCAGGGCACAGGTGTATTAAGTACTTAGGATGAAGGACAAGGAAGAGCAAGCACAGGAGCCCTTGAAACGTGGCCTTGACCTTTTCCATCTGGTTGTTTAAACAGTTACAAGAGGACTCGGGGTGGGGTGAGGCATGCAGTCCCTTCTGCCCAGCATCACAAAAGGCAGCTGTGCAGGGCGACCCCGGGCCTGCGGTCAGGCCAGCAGGCGCCACAGGACCTTCCCGCTCGCAGCCAGCTTCCAAGTCCGTTCCTGGCGGAGTCCCATCACGCACGCTGCCTCCTGGGCCCTCGTGCCACGCTTACGAGGAGGCAGAGAAAACTGGTGTCCAGCTAGGCCCCCTGAGGACCACGGCCCTGGGAGCAGATGTAAACAGCAGGGGCACTGAGCACAGATCCACTCCAGTGGCGCTTTGAAGTGGCTTCTAGTGATTTTCATTTCTGAACACGCTCATGTCCTTTCCCAGCCAGCACTGTCCCTGACGGGGTCCCCCTGCTCGGGCTCACGCAGCTCCTGGCAGCACTTACTGGAAGGAGAGTGGATGAGGAGACCAGGAACCTCGCCCAGATCTGCCCTCTCCCGGGCTCCGTCCTCAGGACCAGTCGCTTTAAAGTATACTCAGCTCTCCCTCTGAGCAGGGAGCCCAAGATGGAACACTCACCAGTATCAAAAAGGTACCACTCAAAACCAGTGGTAAAGATGTACCTGGCCGATGGTCCTTGCGTGAGGTAACTGGAAGGGCAGGAGTCCTGTGCCCTCCCTGCTCTGCCGAGTGAGGGACCCTGACGTTGTCACTTGCCTCTCGGAGCCCTGTCCCCTGGACATGCTCCCAGGTTGCTGCAAACACAGCTGCTGAGCCCAGTGCCCCATATGTTTCCTTTTGTCACTATCAGTGATTTTTAAAAATTTAAAAAGAGAAGAGCCGATGCCTAGGGCAACGACAGCCTGTGGGACGAACTCTGGAGTGATGAGGAAGCACAGGGGAAGAAGCCACGGGTAAGAGGAAGAGCCACTGGCATCCCTTAGGAGAGAACATTTCCCTTCACCAAAAAAGGAAAAACAAATCAACAGCAAATGTAGCCCTGGGATCAGGGAAGGAGCATGAGGCCATGGGAGTCTTGTTTCTGCCTCCTGCCAATCAATATACATGGCTCCCACTTCACCCTTTGGAGGACCCAGCTGTCTGCAAAGGTTAAGTGGCAGGCGCAGCACGGAGAGACGCTGGATTTCCAAGTGCTTTCCCAAGAAAAACCCAGGATCGCCCCCCCCACCCTCACCCCAGCTGCTAGTCCACTGGCTCACAGCTGCGCGCTGCTGCCCCCTAGTGGGGAATGGGCTTCTCAGCATCTGGTAAGAAAGGGCTGCTGGGAAGCCAGCCCTCCTATGGGGTTTCCCTAAAGACCCTCCTTGAGGTGACAGCGTATTCAGACCCAGTATTGTCCTTTCCAGGTGCCCTGAGCCTTCTCAGCTGTGACTTAAAAGCCATGACTTGCCCCACTCCTGGCTTGCAGGCGGTCATCCCTGGATCTGCCCCTGTGTCCTCCGCCTGCTCTGCCTCCAGCCAGAATGAAACTGATGCCAGGATTTGGGCCAGTCGGCCGACGTCCAGGGACAGGGCACTCGGGATTGGCTGAGGACATCTCATTGCAGACCCCACCCCACAGCCAGCTCGCAGCTGCGGGAGCTCCCACCCCTCTGTTCTCCTTACCAAAGGCTTTGGCGACATCTCCTGGACACGTGCAGCCTCCATCCTGCAAAGAGCAAGAGGATGTGGGTGGGAGCTCCTCCAGGCCTCCCCTCTCCCCCAGGGTGACTGGGAGCTGATACCCATCCCCACCCCCAGCCAAGTACACAACCCTCAGAGCCCAAGTCCAACACTCCCCTCAACGGGCTCCTTATACCCCTCAGTGCCACCCACTGCCTGGGGAGCTGCTGAGGGGAGCTCCTGAGCACAAGAGGGACTCCAGCCCCCCCTTCCTCCAGCCCCTCACACAGCACCCAAGACCATTCACCTGCAAGGCCATTCATTCTTGTTCAGTAGTCACCTCTCCCCTGCTGCCCGGTGTGCGGTGAGATTTATTTAGTACAAAGGCTGAATTATTTTAAGAGCCAGAAAGGACACTGAGCTCCTTCCTTTAAGTGCCAGGTGCTCCATGGGTTTCTAAGTCCCCTTCATGTGCTACACCCAGTTCCTTAGTCACACATGCATTCCTGACACCCCCGCCACCCACCTGCAGGACAGTCTGTTATCTCGGGCACCCAGCACAGTTCCGCTGCGGGGTTATGTTTAAACACTGGCAACCTGGTGCCCCGTTTCCAGGATGCAAAGCCATAGCGCTTCCCCACAAAAACGGCACAGAGGAACCAGGCTGCCTAGATTCGCAGTGTGGCCCTGTGAGGCCCAGGAGGCTAAGGGCGGTGAGGGGGGCCTGGAATGGCAGCCAGAGTCGCCAGAGAGAGGCAAGGAAGCAAACACACGGGGCGGCAGGGGCGGCCAGAGTGACAGAGCCCAGACTCAGTGTGGGTCTTGGAGAAACAGCCAGGTCTCAGGGGGAGGTGCCTGTGGCCTGAAGTGGGGACCGGCCCTCGGAGCTGGGGAGCACGGGGAGGAACAGGGAGATCACAGGCCAGCCCCACAGCCTCGCTCACAACCAGCAGAAAGGCAGGCGCGTCCCTGGAGCTGGAGGGCACCCACGGGGAACTGGAACCACCTTCCAAACTGCGTCTCCAGTGAGGACATGGGGTGTCTGTGACTCGGTCCTTCTTCCTGTCTGCTCCGTAGGCCTGTCACTCCTGGGTCTAGAACTCAAATACTGCTTTGTGACTTCTTTGCAGGTCTGAGCAAAAGGCAGGCCTGAAGGCTCGATCTTTCCCTTTTGGGAATATTTACGGACTGCGAGTTATTTCCTCAATCGAGTGTGTTGCTCACGTGGCTTCCCCGATCCCTGGAGGACCACAGGCGAGCCAGGGATGATTATTCCGGAGGTGGCCAGAGCCCTCCACAGCAGACAGGAATGGGCAGGTGGTTCTGCACCGCCAGTTAGTGCTTCAAAGCTCGGTAATAGCTACTCTTTCTTTCAAAGGCACAACCCCTTATGCCCTTCCTGTGTCCCGCCAATTATTTTTAAAGTGCTTTACCTCTTTATCTAAGCCAGTTCTATATGGCAGGGTTTCAAACGTATAACCGCAAAAGTGAAATAAACTCATGCTCCTGTTAAAATGGTCCCTAAGTTATCTGACTTTACACACACACACGCACACGCACGCACATGCATGCACACACGTGCGTCTTAGGCCTTTTGCTCCATGCTTGTGAATAAACAGTCTGGGACTGCTGGGGTGTCTTGTGTGAGGTGGGTACTGAAACTCCTGCCTCAGAAGGTCGGTGCTACGGGACCGAGGAAGAGCTCTTCTCGCAGGGTGGACCAGATGTCCACGACGAACAGCACCCGTGACGTGCTGCGGGGGGTCCTGCTGCGGGGGTCCTGCTTCACGCCCTCCGCTCACTGTGCGCACCAGGAGACAGACAATGCAGACCAACAACCCAGGCAACCCGGTGTCCCTCTGTGCTTCAGGGTACAGGGGCGGCTCCCCGCTACCGTTTACAGGTGATTTCCCAAAAGCTGTTCAAAGCATGGGTTCATGTTCCCAGGAGGCAGAGCAGTGGGGGCAACCCCCACGAGCTACGAAGAACATTGACTTTCATACAGAAACAGTCGGAGCTGCTGGAAGCTTGTTTTTTAAAAACCACAGTGCTTGTGTCAGCAGCACATCTAGTAAAAAATGTTGCAGATACTCGAAGGGTCACTTGTTTTGTTTTCAAGAGCGTTAACATTATATTTTATTAGGAAAGGCGTCACATCACGAGTGGTGATTCGATCTGAGAACTGTCAGCATACTACTTTTTTTTTTTTTAGTTTTGTGTTTTTTTTTCTTTATTGATTTTAGGGAGAGGGAAGGAGAGGGAGAGAGAGAGAGAACCATCGATGAAAGAGAACACTGACTTGCTACCTCCTGCACGCCCCCGACTGGGGATCGGGCCCACAACAAGGGCAAGTGTCCTGACCGGGAATGGAACTGGCGACCTCTTAGTGAATGGGTTGACCTCAACCACTGAGCCATGCCGGCCGGACATACCGCCTCTTCTTTAAAAAGACTCGCCTGTCCCTCAAATAAGGGGTAGGAAAAGCAAGCACAGGGTAGGCAGAAAAAAATTGAATCAAACACCTACTATGAGCCAGGAACTGTTACAAACTCATTTGTCTATTCAAACAGAACAAGAACCTGACATTGTTATTTTGTAAGAGGTGGGGAATAAGGGGAGCTCAGAAAGGTTGAGTGACATGCCCAAGGTCACACAGATATAATAGAACAAGATTGGAACCACGGTTAAGAGTAAATTCTAGCCCTTGCCGAGTGAGTGGCTCACTTGGTTGGAGCGTGGTCCTGTACACCAAAAGGTTGCGGGTTCAATTCCCTGTCGGGGCATGTACAGGAGGCAACTGATTGATGTTTCTCTCTCTCCCTTCTCCTCTAAAAATCAATAAAGATATATTCTCGGATGAGGATTAAAAAAAAAAAAAAGAGGAAACTCTAAAAATGTCTAGAAGCATACCTACCAAAACATTAGCAGTGGTTACCTTAAGATGGTTACTTCTAGTCATATTATTTTCTTTACTTTTATTTGTATTTTCTAACTTTTTCTAGGCTCAACCTATTTTTGGTGGGGAATTTTTCAAAACTAAAAAAATTATTTGGAAGAATTGTTTAGGTCTTTCTACATGAAAGTCTAGCTGTTCCTAAAGTACTACATTAAATCAATAAAATTCTAGGGAAATTGATGATCAGCCTTTACTTCCTTGCTGAGGGCCCATGAGGGGATGGGGAAACTGGGTGCAGGGAAGGAGGGGCTGCCTTGAATCAGCCCGACCCTGTACCATTAACCACCCCTCACGACGTCAGGCCTCCTCAGACTTGATAAGCACATTCTCTAGGTCTTTATGAAGTGCACGAATTAAAATGTTGAACTTGAGTAAAGAACAGACAATAGTAATCCCAGTCAACCTAGTCACAGGACGTTTTTTTTTATACCCTCACTCGAGGACATTTTTGCATTTATTTTCAGATAGAGCGGGAGAGAGAGAAAACATGGATGTGAGAGAGACACATCGAGTGGTCGCCACCCACACGATCCCAAGCGGGCTGGGGACAAACTGCAGTTGAGGTACGTGCCCTTAGCCAAACCGGCCAGGGTGTCACAGGACTTTTTTTAGTTCCTGTGAAGCACTACAAAGTCCTGGCCATTTGGGTTGCTGGTTCAAATCCCTCCCCTTCCAACGTTCCAGCAGGTGCTGGTTCTGGACTCTGCAGTGGAAGGTGTGCTCCAGGACTGGGGGCAGGGACTCGTACAGAGCGGATGAGGCTGCAGTCCCCCGGGGCAATGTGGTGGGGAATGAGCAGGGATCCCGGGGAAACCTGCATTCTTCGTGACTTCAGGAAGCCCTTCACCCTCTTTGAGCCTCCCCGTTTTTAATGCGGGAGGTCAAGGGAGGAGTGGAACGGCACGGACGATCCGACTTCGGCCTCAGCGCCGGCTCCGCCCCACCAGCAGTGCGATGCTGAACAAGCGGCCCAAGGACCTGAAGCATCCGTTTCCTCACCTGCGTGACTGTTCACTGGGTGTGTCAACTTGGCCGGGTCACGAAGTGCCTGGGTGTTTAGTTAAACAGTACTCTGGGTGTTTCTGAGGGGTGTCTGGGGAAAGATTCCCATCTGAATGAACAGACAGTAAAGCAGACTGCCCTCCCCTGTGGGTGGGCCCAATTCCTCAGCTGAAGCCTCGAGTGGAACAAAGAGGCTCACCCTCCCCAATGAAATCTTTCCTGATTGACTGCCTGTGAATTGGGAAGTGGGCTTTCTCCTGCCTTCTGATTCCAACTGAAACGTTGGCTCTTCCTGGTCCTCAGGCCTGCAGACTCAGTCAGACTGGAGTCCAGCATCCGCTGTCTCTAGCGTGCCGAGTCACCCTGAGACCTGGGGACTTCCCACCCTCCATCACCACATGAACCAATTCCTTGTACTAAGTTGTTCTCTCTCCCTTTCTCTATCACTACACACACACACGCGCACTACTGGACATTTCTCTAGAAAACTCTAACTAATACACCTATTAAAGATAACAGACTCTAGTACACTGCTGGTGGGAATGCAAACTGGTTCGGCCACTATGGAAAACAATATGGTGTTTCCTCAAAAAATTAAAAATTGATCTGTCATTTGACCCAGTGATCCCACTTCTAGGAATATACCCTAAGAAGCCTGAAACACCAATCAGAAAGAATATATGTACCCCCATGTTCATAGAAGCACTATTTACAATAGCTAAGATCTGGAAACAGCCCAAGTGTCCATCAGTACACAAATGGATAAAAAAGCTGTGGTACATTTATGCAATGGAATACTATGCAGCCGTAAGAAAGAAAGACCTCTTCATGGAGGGACCTGAAGAGTATTATGTAAGTGAAATAAGCCAATCAGAGAAAGAAATATAGCATGTGATCTCACTTATTTGTGGAATATAATCAACAAAATAAGCTGATGAACAAAATAGACCCGAGACATAGAAAGGAATATGGCTCAGACTGACAAACGTTAGAGGAGGGGGATGGGGAGAGGAATGAGATAAACAGAACTTATATGCATGTATGTGTAACCAATGGACATAGACAACAATGCCGGGGGAGGGGGGGGGCAGGATTGGGAGAAGGGTGTCTAGGGGGGAAAAAGGAGAAACATCTGTAACAAAAATAAATTAATAAAAATTGCAAAAAATAAAGTCAAGATAACAGCTACCTTGTCAGGTTGTTCCAGGGTGTAAAGATGATATGTACTAACATATGTCTGGCAGATAGTAGATGCTCAATAAATGATAGCTATTACTTCCTTCAAAGCTGTTTCCACCTTTAAAACCCTCTCCTTCATGTGATGTCCCCAGCAGATGACAAGACAAAATGAACTGGTCACACCTTCACCTTCACCTACACAGAGGGCATCCTAGATTTTTCAGCTCTGCCCAGTCAGTCAGCTCACTCAGCACATGGAGGGTGATGGCTTACGGCCCCTTACACACTCGTTCAATAAATTGGTGTTAATGTGTTCATTGTGGCAAAAGGGTACTGAGAGGAGGGCCTTAGAACTCTGCAACCAACCAACCTCCAGTCATTTACCAGCTTCTAGCACAACAGATGCTCAGTAGGGACTTCATGACTGTACGGATGGGTGGATGGATGAAAAGCCGGGATGAAGAATCAGAAGGAGCACAGGAAATCTGCACCGGACCTCCAGCTAAGGACCTGGCTCCTAGCTGGGTTGTACCTGAAGGTCCCATGAGGGGAAGCAGCAAATGAAGGTCACACGCTGTGTTGAGGCTCACAGGAGTCAATGTGCACACGGGATTGTAAAGATTAACATGCCTCAAAGCAGGTCCAGAGAGCCAACCTCCACAGGCTGAAATGCTGAGCTGAAATGAACAAGACCATTTCGCAGGGATGTGGAATTCAAAGCCTTTGGACTTAAAGTAGTAATAGCCTAGTATTTCATGGGGGAGCATAGCTTAGCAATTGTACAACTGAAATGATCTGAAGATCTAATTTACTACATTCAGTATGAGTCCATTGCTGTAGAACCACTAAAAAATATGTCACTACTTCAGAATTTGTAAAAAATTAAAAAAAAAAAATACACATATGTATCATCCACATTAAGTGGGAGCCATAGTTCCATCCGAGTCCATCCTGTTATGTCTGACGTGTTCTGCCCTGTCTGAGCATCTCGTGTAGAAGGGGAGAGACATGAAACCCTCTCTCACTGTCTGGACTGCAGCCACAGCTGTGCGGTGGAGTGGAATTACAGATAAACTGAGGATTTCCACTTGGCATGCATTCCCTCCCCTGACTATTTGGTACTGTTCCTCCAGGAGCTTCAGGAAGGTGTTGAGATCACTGTCTGCCTCCCCTCACCCCCTTCTCATACCTGTCTCAACCCGCAAAACTCTAACTTCTGGCCCTGGCTGGGTTGGCCCAGCAGTTAAGAGCATCAGACCTTGGATCAAAGGGTTGTGGGTGTGATTCTCAATTAAGAGCACATAACTGGGTTGCAGGTTTGCTCCCCAGCCCCAGTTCAATGTGTCTCTCTCGAATTGATGTCCCCCCTCCCTCTCTCTTTTTCTCTCTCTCCCTTCCTGCCTTCCACACTCTCTAAAAATTAATGGAAAAAAAATCCTTGGGTGAGGTTTAACAACAATAAAAACAATCTGACTTCTGCCCCAGGCTGCCGCTGCATCTGCTCTCACTATGGTAGCTGGTGACCATGGCGGCATCTGACACCTGCAGACGTGAGTAGCTAAGACGAGGCCATCCTGAAGTAGGAGGGCCTCCATCCACTGTGAGGGATGCTCCTATAAAGAGGAGGAATCTGGACACAAAGACGGACATGCACACAGGGAGGACCACACGTGAAGACTGGGATTACGGTGCCACCAGCCAAGAAACCATCAGAAGCACGAGGGGCCTGGAGCAGAGCCCTCCCTAGAGCACCCACGGCCCTGCCGACACCTCGGTCTCGGACTTGTGGCCTCCAGGACTGTGAGACAATTATGTCTTAAGACCCCAGTTTGGGTGGCCCTTGCATTTTCTCGAAGCTCCCCCCACCCCCACCTCATGATCCCCCCACTTGGAGCCACTGACCAGCGTTCTGACTGGTGTGCCTGCCTCGCTCAATGCAGAGCAGGAGGGGTAGGGCCGATGTCGACACCCCGTGACCCCAGTGCCCGCTCACTCCCAAGCCCACAGGACGCCCCTGGCTGAATGGCAACTGGAAGCAGGACTCCCTCGGGCCGGAAGCAGGGCCCTGCCATCCCGAGACGCTCCCCAGTTCTCCCCAGCCGGCCTGGGAGACTTACAGAGATGATGTGCCCCTTGAGGCCATGGGCGGAGTCGGCGCACTCGATCACGGCGCTCAGCTGGGGGTAGCCCACCCCCGTCTTGGTACGGGTGGTGCACACGGAACCTGGATGGAGGGAGCAGTGAACCCCAAAGAGAAGAGGTCAGTGAATGAGCAGAATGGGACACAAAATGAGCCCCCGTCACTATCACAGCCCTGCTGAGGTCCGTGGCAGAGGAGCAGTGTGGGGGAGGGGCCGCCCGAGCCGGACACCACACACCTGGCCACGCAGCCCTCCAGTGCCTCATCGCTGCCACCTGCTCGGCCCAGAACACAGCCGCCTGTAACCTGGCCTGTCACTCTCCCTGTGACCTCAGTCCCCTCCAAGGCAGCACTGAGTCTCCATGCTCCAACTCCCATTTCTTCCCCACCACCACCCCTCAGGGGCCGCTCAGCATCCTCCCACAGCCCCAGCCTCTCTGCCTTTTTCTCCACCTCCGTGCTCGCCTGTGAGGTGGAGATAAAAACACTGGTTTCACAGGGCTGTGGTAGGAATTAAATAGCGCAGGCATGAAGGGCCTGGCACTAACCCTGCTCCTTCCTGGACCCTCCCTCTCACCCACTGTCCTCAAGGTGCCCAGCCTGTTGTTCATGATCTCACAGTCCACCTCCAACCCTGTCCAGAGGCCCATCCAGCCTGGACTGAGGTCAGCCTCCATTGCAGGGCGCACACCAGCCACCTGGGTGCCTTCACTCTCTTGACCTCTGTCTTCCCCGTGGTCAAGGCCAGTCCCGGTCGAGCATCTGCATTATCCCCGTTAGGTCCAAGCCAAGTCACGCCAGAGGAACCAGCATCTCCAGCACGTGTCTCCTTGCTCCAGACTGGCCCCTCGCTCCCAGCAGTGAGCACCCTGCTCCGAGACCACCTAGATCCAAGTCCTGAATGTCCGCCCTCCTCCCGCTCACCAGGCTGCACCACGCGGACCTCAGTTCCTCCTGCCCCCGTGCGTGCCTGCCCCCTCCGGGATTCTCTGCACAGGACGTTCTGTGTCCGAACACTTCCCTCCGTACCAACCCCTGGTCTTGCCAACCCTTTCTCATCCTCCAGGCGTCACCTTAAATGTCACTGCCCAGGGAAGCTGTTTATCACAGCACTCACTTCAAAAGAGGCATGTGAATAATGTGTGTAGAACCGAGGACCTGTTTTCCCTGCTGGACGGTAGCTCCGTGGAGTTCATTCCTGTCACGCTGAGCACAGAGCCCATACAGAAGGCACGGTAAATGGTCACCAAAGAATGTGCGAGTCACCCACATCCGTCTCCACTGCTCCACCACCCAGTTCCTCCCGGATGTACTGTGGCATTGATGACAGAATGCCCTGAGGCCAGTGTAAAAAACGGGGTCTAACTCCCCACCCTGCAGAAGAACTGGGGATGAGTGCTCAGAGCCCACCCCGCTCCTGCTCCCGCCACCCCAGCAGCTTCACGGTGTCCCACAAACGCCTCCTGGGTGTCCTTGGGAACAGGGCCAGACAGAACCTTGTCCACACTGCCAGGCCTGGCCTCACCAGGGAAACAGGGTGGGGGACCCCCTTTCCTGACGTCCACCCTTACGGGTCGCTCACAATCCTGGAGCCAGGGCGCCTCTCCCCGCCCCCTGCCCAGACCCCAGATGTGCACTGTGTGAGGCAGTCAGAGCTGCGTAACCTGGTCCTGGATCAGAACCGGCTCCTCTCCCTCCCCACCCAACTGCTGCATCCTCCAGGGGGCGGGCCCCAGCTGCAGCGCCTGGAGCTCCGCTCAGGGACAAGGCACGGGGTGGTCTTTTTTTTTTTTTTAATATTAAAATCTTTAATATGAAATTATTTAAGTTTAGTTAAGGTTAGAGTTTCACTTTATAGATGAAACCTCAAACAGTGTTCCACCCAATCAGCAGTAAAATCCTCCTAAATCACAGACTTTTGCAGCCTGGGAATGTCACACATTTTTAAAATTTTGACCTGCTTTGCCCTGTGCATTTCTAGCTTCCGGGTCTCCTCTGCGGGTGCCACCCACACAGGGCTGAGTCCGCAGTCCCGAGGAGGCCTCTCCGGAGGCAGGTGCCTTCCCTGACTCTCCTGAGGATGGTGTGATTAACCCCCGGGTGGGACAGAGAAAGCGGGCACCTAGTTCTCCAGTTATAGCAGCAGGGGTGCTCATCTTGAACGCTTTTCCCCAGTTTCTGGGAGTTCCTCGATGACGCCCCCTTTCTAATGCTGTCGTTTCCATACAGAACACTCAGTGTCTTTACTCTGAAGAATCTGTGAAACGTCCATACAATCTCCAATCAATTTGAAGAAGCGGCTCCAACGTATCGGGCTCAAGGGGAGCCTCTTACTCCTTCCGTCAGGTCCGTTCGGAACAGACAGCCTGGGTCACACAGTGCCCGTGGAAGGACAACAGATCGTTAAGGGACAGAAGTTCGCGCCCAGAGGACGCGCGTGCACACACCCAGCACTGCAGAAGGCTCGGCTCACATCAGGCACAGCTCCTGAGAGCCGGCTGCTTCCACACCTTCACGGCCCACAGGGCGCCCACTGCACGACGCGACCGCGGGCACTCGGCACACATTTGTGATCAGACAGGCGGCTGGCGAGGGCCCCGCCTTTGGAACCCAGTGCGCCGGCCTGCCTGGCCGCCTGTTCTGTTCTCTCACGGCCTAGTCGAAGCCAGGATCCTTGTGAGCAGGAACCGGGCCTTATCCTTTCCTCGACTGTCAACGACGACAGACCCTCGGTCGACACCAGGGCCGTCTTTCCTGTTGCTCAGAGCCTGTTACGAATCGGCTCGGGTGTGTGGCAATACCAAAGGGCCTATCTTGACAATTCCCCTGGGTGTCGAAAGCTCAGGGGCGTGGACAGGCCCACAGGGCTCTCCCCGAACAGTCCCCCGCGGCCAACCTTTTCCCTCAAGGCCGACAAGTGCGTAAATCAACGCGGCGATCCCTTCCCCCAGCCACGCCCCCGCGCTCTTCTACCGTTAGCTTAGCTTACGATCTGCTTCCATTTTGGCAGTGTCATTTGGGTAGGCAATATTTTTTTAAGTCTCTGCTGTTTTCATTCCCAAATGAAAACGTGCACCTTCCTCCCTTCGCTCCGCGTCAGTGTCTGGTTAATGACGAACATGAAGGAGGAGGCTAAAACATGGAAGCCCCAGGTATGGCCAAAGGGGACGGCAGCACCAGCTGGCCCCGCCTGTTGCCCTACCCGAGATGCCAAGGGGTAGTCCCAGGAGGGACTGCCGAGGGGACATGGTATGCATGTGTATCAGGTGGGGAGCCAAAGTGATAACTAGCTCGGCCATGGGTTGGTTCAAATGTGGGCTCACCACTGAATGCTCTCAGTGTCTGGGGCCCTTCAAACAGTCACAGAAATTTGAGTTACTCACATCCATCAGCTGTCCCTCATCTTCCTCTTCAAGGTCTGTATGGTCATTAACGAAACCTGCACTTTTCTCTTCTGGTTACGTTCTAAGACCTGGACCTCACATTCTAACCACATCCACTCTCATGTACAGGGGGCATCCGATAGCAACTCAATGACATGTCTTTTCTTTTTTTTAACATGTTTTTATTGATTTTTTAGAGAGAGAGGAAGGGAGAGATAGAAACATTGATGTGAGAGAGAAACACTGATAGGCCGCCTCCTGCACGCCTGACTAGGGTCCGAGCCCACAACCTGGGCATGTGCCCTGACGGGGAATCAAACCAGGACCTCTCGGTCCATGGGACGACACTCAATCCACTGAGCCACACCAGCTGGGCTCAACAACATTTCTAATGAGAAGCTTCTTCTAGAAGCTCAGTGAGGACATTTCAAAATAAATGTACTTTAAACTTGCGGGTAGGTCGTCCATGGACCCCCTGATGGCCATTTCCAGTCCCCGTGAACCCCAAACCCCATCTCTCCCCACACACACCCTGTGCTGTTCTCCCAGCAAGTCTCACCTGGTCCAACTCCCACTTTGATGACATCTGCTCCGGAGAGGATCAGCTCTTCTACCATCTCCCCCGTCACCACATTCCCTGCCTGAGAGAGAAAGAACACAGAGCGCGATCATGAACCAACCTCTCCTGGTGGCACAAAGATGAACGAGTGAGGAGCTGCACACCTGGACACAAGGATGAGCATGTCCTGCCTGAAGCCACCCGGCAGCTGGGGAACCAAAACAAAACAACGAGAGGGGAGAGAAAACACTGGATCCAATAGAAGCACAGAATTTGCTGCCTGGAGACTGCATTTGGAGAAGGTACAGAACTCTATGGTTTTAGAACTCCACGACCTGAGACCATCTAGGTCAGAACTTTTTGAGTATTTCAGCAATGTGCAAAATAAAATCTTACAGAGAACCCAAGTACATAAAATAAGCATTGCAACACTCCCTCAGCTGATTCAAATCTTGACTGTCAGGCACAAAATGCGTCACAGACTGTAACACCCTTGGAGAAGCTTTTTGGAGCCCCAGGGGCCAGGACGAGGACACCACTGGTCATCTCACAGCCGGAAAGACGTCTGGGCATCCCGCCGCCGGGTCAGAGGTTCCCACCTGGACACAAAGGGCAGATGAGCCCTCGTGGACCAAGAGCACTAGAATCTGCTCCGTTTTCTGAACATGAAGCTGTGACCCTAATAAAATACACATAAGCAGGGAAGTGGCAGAATCTAAAAACCAGAAGGATGCCTCTGGATTGGAAAGAGCACAAATTTTTTCACTGCAGAAGTATGGGGCTCAAAAACAGCCCCTTTTACGACAGCTTACTGCCCTGCGGAGTCCTCAGCTGGGGCACAGGAGACTTGGCGAGACGCCTGGCTGCATGGCTGCATTTGCACAACCGTGCACGGTCCTGTTCTGGGAGATGCATCCCGACTCAGTCCACTAATTTTTATTATTTTTTAATTGAAGCCCTACTATCTTTTAACTGAATTGATTCCCAGAGGGAATTTTTCTTTATTAATTTAGACAAAGATCTTGGAAAAGGGTGATAAGGAGGGCTCAAAGCTGCTTTAATCCAAACAGTACACGGCAACCGAAAATGACAGACGGCCCAGAAAGAGGCTCGAACACATGAGAAGTGTGTTACCGGTCAGCGAGGAAAGGAACCCTATTTCAGGAGGCTGAGCTGGAAAAGGCATCTTCGGGAACAGATATAGATCACCACTCACGCTTTTCACCAAAATAAGCTTCGGGGGATTACAGAGTTGAACCAAAAGATTTATCCCCCACACTTAGAAGAAAACCTTGAATACTTGTAAAAAGCACAAAAGTGAAAAGAACATAAATACAGATCTATCTACCTGAAAGAAGTTTGTGTACATATAAACATACAAATGCATACCTACAATCAACAAAACTAAGAGGCAAATAAATGAGCTGGTGGGGAGAATGTCTCCAATTATGACAAGGGTTCCTAACCCTGCACGAGCTCTTCCAAATTTACAGGAAACGCTCACACCTCACTGATTAACCGCCAAAGGACACGAACACGCTAATGAAAGAAACTCAAGTGGCCAATAAACACAGGGAAATTATTGAACCTAATTAGTAATCAATTTTAAATTATGAGACCAGTCAGATACTACTTTTTACTTCACCAATGACCAATAATTATAAACACAGAATGCTAAAGCAAAAACGGACACCCACTGAAGAAATACAAAAAGACCTATATCTTTTCATCCAATAAACCTACTTCTAGGATTCTCTCTCAAGGAAATAATCACAGATGAGGTCGAAGGATTTAACTTCAAGGATGTTGTTTATAACAGTGCAAACTGCAAGCTTATTCCCCAAAATGGGTAGGGTTCGACAGTCTAGGGCCCATCATGTGATGCTTCAAAGCCTGGTGTAACGGCATGGGAAAATGTTTAAATGCTTCCAGGATAGTATTAGGGGAGACAAAAGGAAATAGTAAGATCTCTATTTTGTTTAAAAAAAAGACAACACAAGTATATGTGTATGTGCAAACACACACCCACATGCTAACACATTAAACACATTATGTCTACCTGAAGGGCTTCTCTGACTTTTCATTAAAATGTTCTGGATGAACAGTATACGTTGTATTACTCTTATTCAACATGTTTTGCGGGGAGGCGGGGGGGTTGTGGTTTGTTTTTGTTTTTTAAGCACAAGCACCAGCATGAACTCTGTACCCAAGAAAGCATTTCATAGAAACCAGAGAAACAAGACTCTCATTCTTCCTCACTGGTTGAGCTGCTGAAAAATAAAGTTTTAAAGACTTAAAAATAAATTTTTAAAAATGAAATAATTTTAAATAAAAAATGTAAAGAAGCTGTTAAGCTCCCCACATAGTTTCATTTTCAATGTTGAGCCCCCACCCCCACCCGTCTGGCGCTGCCCACAGATCATTTCATTTCAAAGGGCCTACTTTACCCAAAATAAAAGAAGTCACTTCAGCTCATGATGGACGCACCAGGTACAACCAAGTGCGGTGGAAGTTGAACAGCGCTGCTTCGCTGCTCCTGGGTAGCCCAGGGGCTTGCCCAGGCCCCGGTCTCCCGGCAGCTTCCTGAACAGAGGTCAGCAGGCAGTCACCAGGTGGAAAAACCCCAGCCCTGTGACATGCCTCTCGCCTGAGGACAAGGCACCAGGCATGCTGACGACAGGGAGAGGGCCAATGAGCTGCCACTTGCAGGAACACAACGCTGTCTATTCCAGTTTGACATCAAGAAGGGCAAAAACAAGGGGGGAAGAAAAGACAAAATCGGGATGAGCATGATGACAGGAGTGTGGCCAGGCTCCAGGGACAGCCCCAGGCGGCCAGGCTCTGAGGAGTGGAGGGGGCTCAGCAGGGCAGGGAGTGAGCAGCTCTCCTATCTGGGCCTGAAGCACCCTGGCGGTGGACTCAGCTGTCAGGACGGGGCCACACCCAGCAGCACGTCAGCCGTCACCATCTGGGCACCCCAGCCAGCAAGTGGAGATTTCCACTGGGCACCCCTCTCCCCGGGAGGCCATGCACTGACAGCAATGACGCCCCTCCGTTCAAGAAGGGTGAGGACCCCAGGAAGAGACATGATCGGGACAAAGCTAACATTTCAAGTACTTTTGTACCATTGTAAAAAGTCCTCTGGGCAAAAACCGAAACCCAAACTGTTTTGCCCCAATTTTTCCAGCTTTCCTTCAGACCCTGATATCTATGACGAACAAGTTCAGAAAGACCTGGGGTCAACGGTGGGCCTCCCACTTCCCAGGTAATCTTAAGAAAGTCACTCAACCCCTGAGTCTCCATCTATCTCGCTGTGAGATCAATCATCATGCTCACTCACTGTTGTGACTGTAAGGTTTACAAAGTTCCATAAATTCCTAGCAGGCGCCCAGCTCTCGGCTGGGGCTCCCTAAAAATGCAGTCCCTCCACCTCAGAGTGACTTCTGTAGATTGTTCTTCTACTCTCTTCCTTCCTTTCTCTCTTTTTGAGTTTTTTCTTTCTTTTCTTTTTTTTTTTTGAGAGTATGTGCCCTTACTGGGAACCGAACCCGGGTCTCTCTGGTCCGCGGACCAATGCTCTAACCGCTGAGCCAAACCGGCCAGGGCTTGAGTTTTTTCTTTATTGATTTTTAGAGAGAGAGGAAGGAAGAAGGAGAGATAGAAATACTGATGAGAGAGAACATCGACCGGCCGCCTCCTGCATGCCCTTCACTGGGGATCGGACCCACAACCTGGGCATGTGCCCTGACTGGGAATCGAAATAGCGACCTCTTGGTCAATGCTCAGTCACTGAGCCACACCAACTGGGCTCTTTTTGAGTTTTAATTGTGGTCATATATATAAAACATAAAATTTACTATTTTAACTACTTTAAAATAATTGCATACATTCACATTGCTGTGCAACCATCACTCCCCTCCATCATCAGAACTTTTTTCTCATCCCTAACTGAAATTCTGTACCCACTAAACAGTAACTTCTTTACCCACTTTTTACTGGCTCTTCTGAGGCCCTCTTCCCAGAAAGATCCTTTCTACAGAAAGCTGTAAGGCAAGGGTCAGCGAACACAGCAGGCTGGATTTGGCCCATGGGCCACAGCTTGGCAACTCCAAATATAAGGGACGGACCCTAAGCCAGTGCCTTGCGCCCAGCACCTCTACCTGCTGGGGAACCAGGGAGCGGATGCTAACAAGGCAATGACCACCTCTGATGGCACATTAACCTATTTACTACGTGACTCTCCGAGACAAACATCACCTGAATCTCTCTCTGAGGCCCTCGTGGCTTCGACCACAGTTCCAGTTCACAGCAGTCCCAGAAAAAGGGTGACAGCAAATATCCAGGTGACTCAGCCTGAGAAGCGCTGTCAACCCTAACAAGTCCCTTGCACTTCAGTGAGGCCGCCAGACACTGTTACAGCCTCCCTCAGCTAACACCGGCAAGGGACACCCGAGAGGGTGCAGCTCTCTGGGAAGCGGTACAGAGCAGAGCTGTCTCCTGTGGCTCAGACCATGACTGCTGGAGGAAGAACGCAGAGAGGTGACCGAGCCAATGGTCACAGACGAAGTGCCCAGGCCATGTCCATGGCTACCTGGGATGGGCCAACAGTGGCTGGCCTGGCACTCCCCAAGGGTGCAGAGCTGAACCTCTAGTCTAATCCGAGCAGCTTAGGTGTCACAGACCTACCTCTTCACAGGACCAGGTCAGCAAGAGCCATCAGCACAAGAGCATTTCTCAGACCCAACACGGGGACCGGGCTGGCCCGCGGGCAGGCTGCAGCCGGTGCAGCGGGGACATCCCAGGGTCTGAGGAGAGGCTGCCGGGCTCCACCCCCCAGGCTCTGTGACCCTTGAGAAGTTCCCTGATCTAAAACTAAGTGTCACGTCATTAAATGCAGGTGCTATTGTCCATATTCAGATTTGTTATGATTAAGAGTGAAGTGTCCCACCCATTCTGGTGCCCTTTTCCACAGCGCCTAGAATCCATCCACTTGCTACACTCTTCTGACAGCCTGTGCCCCTTGGGAACCCTTTTCTGCCGAAGATGTTCTCTGCCCCCTGCTTCCTCCCTCCCTACGCTGGC